GTCGTCGTCGGCTGTGGGCCCGGGGCGTGAAGCGGCATCCTTCCCTGAGGGCGGTGCTCGGCCGCCGCCGGTCTGCGGGGTTTCCTCTCTCGCGGCGCGTGGTGTTAGCGGGCCAGGCCTCAGCTAGGGAAGGGGTCTCCGCTCTCTTCCTGTGGCTGCACTGTTTACGGGCTGGTCTTTCATGCTTCGAGGAATGAATGCTTTATGTGCTTCCAGTGAAGCGAATCCTGGTAAAAGTACGCCTTAGTGAAAAGCTAACATGGATTTATTCGGGAGTTTTCTACACACTGGGATGGCTTTCTTCTGGCTCACTTTCTCGCACCCAGCTCCTTTATATTGCTTTTGTTTCTATTTATATGATAAAGTTGTCACACAAATTGTTTAACATGTATTTCTTGGGACATTCCGTAGGTATTTTCATCTGGCAAAAATGGGTGAACCTCAACAAGTGAGTGCCCTTCCTCCGCCTCCAATGCAGTATATAAAAGAATATACTGATGAGAATATCCGTAAGGGCCTGGCTCCAAAGCCACCTCCACCTGTGAAAGACAGTTACATGATGTTTGGTAATCAGTTTCAATGTGATGATCTAATTATTCGACCCTTGGAGAGCCAGGGTATTGAACGGTTGCACCCTATGCAGTTTGATCACAAGAAGGAATTAAGAAAACTTAATATGTCTATCCTGGTCAATTTTTTGGACCTCTTGGATATCTTGATAAGGAGTCCAGGGAGTATAAAGCGAGAGGAGAAACTGGAAGACTTAAAACTGCTTTTTGTTCATGTCCATCATCTTATAAACGAGTATCGCCCTCACCAAGCTAGGGAGACGCTGAGAGTCATGATGGAGGTGCAGAAACGTCAGCGTTTGGAAACAGCAGAGCGATTTCAGAAGCACTTAGAGCGAGTTGTTGAGATGATTCAGAACTGCCTGGCTTCTTTGCCTGATGATCTGCCTCATTCAGAGGGAGGACTGAGAGTGAAAGTGGAACCAATGGATACTGATGATGGCAGCAACTGTATTGGACAGAGCGAAAAGCAGAGAGAGCGTTCTGGTGGCAAGAGAGATCAGGTTTTAGACAAAGATGCAGCTATGTGTAGCCTTATTGATGAAATGACATAAAGAAAACACTTCTGTTAGCTCACCATGGTGAGAGGCAGAATGGATTTGGAGGGTATACGTTCTGTTTTGTTTTGCTGTTGTACAAGCAGACAAAGCATTTATTGTACACCTGTTGGAGGTTGTGAGTGACTAGGCAGATCAAACCATTTAATATTTTGTGAGCTCTGTGTTTATTGGTAGAAACAAAAAAGTATACTTCTTGTTAAATGTATCGTGTGAGGTGGTAGCCGCAGATTAAAGTTAGCTTTTTCTGTTGCACTTTCATTTGTCACTTTCTGCTTTTTTGGGTATGCCTCACTTTTATTTCTTTTAAATTGCTTTATAGTCTGGAAGCAAGTAAGGGATGTGACAGAGGAATTGCAGTTGACAGCTCCTCCATTTCAAATAAGTGTTAGCTGGTTACAATTTCAGTGGGTCCTTTCAGGAATGTATAATTCAATATTAAAATTAGTATGAAGTCTCCAAAGTCCATTCCTTTCTGGTTTTGTAATAATACAATTGTACTAAAGAGAACCTAAGAATTCCTTTATTACAGACATAATGTGGTGTAATTTGCCTTAATAGAGGCACACTGTCAGGAGTCTCAACAACTAAATGAAGTAAAAGTAATTGGATTTTAATTTTCTTAGATGTAAATCATACCCAGTCTTGAGCTTACAAAAATGCCTCTTTTTATTTTCTTACATATAGATGCTTAGACTACCTTCTATTTCCTACATAGTTAATATACATGCATGAACTGAATCATTTTGCAGTGCAGATGCTTTGTATTTGCCTTTTAGGTGAGCTCTGTGCTCACCTGAGTGTTTTTCTCAGGAAGGAGAGTCTGATTGGATAATTGGCCTTTGTACTAATTGAGAACTTCTGAGTTTGAAAGAACCTGCAAGTATTCCATCAAGTGGAAGCCATATCAACCATGTTTAATGAACATTTTAGTTGGATCAGCCCCCCATAGCAGGAGGAAAAGAGCGATTTAATAGTGAAGAAGCGGCTTCTTTACCCTGCCCATCCTGTCTGTCAGTGAAATCCTGCTTGCATCTTTTTGCCAGGTGACACCATAGTATCTATGTTTTCCAAAGTACGTACAGCAGCTGAAAACCAGGTGAATGTTATGGGTGAAGGAACTTGCACAAACTCTGTTTTGTAACTGCTATGTGTATGTTTCATTTGATAATTCTGTTTTCAGAGATGTTACCTAATGGGCAGGCAGAAGCACTTAGCTGTTGGGTGGTGGGGATTGAGCTCGGTGCAGATAAAGATGAAATGAACTGAAGCAAGTATATGATTCACTGGAGGACATGATCTGCTTTTTTAAGGGCATGTGGCATCATAAGTAAAGAAGTAGAAAAATATTTTTTTTTTTAGAAATGTATAAATAGTTTTACAAAGGTAATGCTTTTGTCCTTTATTCAACCACCACTGTTTTGTTCCTTCTTCCCAGACTAGATCTAAACTGTATTACTTGTAGGTAACTAAAACAGTTGCAAGTCAGCAGAATTAATTTGGTATCTACTTTGCAAGTGTTCTTTCATGTGGAAGATATGAAAAAACATTTAGTGCCTCCTGGATGAGACACATTGTGCACTGTGGAACAGTTTGTCGTGGACATTTTGACTTTGCTGTTCAAAAAGAGCTGTCATAGATGCTCAATGGCTTTCTGTTTATTTTTGTCTAATTGTTACGCTTTTAATGAAGTCATAAGACTGGGTACCATAGTTTCAAAATACTGCATAAGCTGGGTCCTAGCAGCAACTAACAATTGCAGTGAGCTTTTTTGTGAGACTGTTGAGGTAAACAAGGATCATGTCATTTTAAAAATGCTTAGGGCTGCTTTCACTTTCCAAAAAGTTTCACAAATAATTTGTTTATTCTAGATTATTTTTCTGTTTAAAGCAAACCCTTGGAAAGCTGTGGGAGAATTCCTGTGGTTTTTTTTCCAGCCAAAACATTGACTTTTTTCTCAATTGTCAGGTCAAAGCAATGATTCTTTTCCCTTTTGCTGGTACAACTTTGCTTTTGGGAAAACAACAGACTGTAGCTGCCATGAAGGCAGTGGGTGGCATATGCCTGTTAGTCTAGGGAAATGGGTAATTCACAGGATGGTGTGACTCGCTGACTAGCAAATTTGATTACAAATGTTGTCTTCTCTCATGTGTTAAGTAACCTGCTCCCAATGAAGATGTCTTTCCTTACCTCAGAATATCCTGATTTTATTTTTGGATATGATATTTGAGGTATTCTACCCCTGAAATGTTAATGTATACAGTGTGTGTTGGATTATACATGCCTTATGAAACTCTATGAGATAAAGTTAACATCAGGTGTTAAGCAGCATTTTGTTGGATGTTTTCTTAATTAAAAAAACAAGGAAGGAAAAGAAAAAAGCCCAACCCTTCCTTTACACTATCTGAACAAGCACAGGGATAACAGAATTACAGTTACTTGGAAAAGTTCCAAACATTTCTTGATCCAGAGAAACCGAATGTGTCAGCAGTGGACAAAAGGGGAAAGTTTGTACCTCTGATCATCTAGGGGGAAAAGAAGAAAAGCTATTTAGTGATACGGCTCTAAGAAAGTGCAGTGAAGAGATGTTTCCAACAATGCTTTAAACTTATTTCAATATTTAATGTTTTGGTTTGGTTTTATTTTGACAAAGTATGATCTGACTATATGCTCAGAGTCAAGAAGAAATGTGCAGCTACTTCAACGGCTGCATGAAGAAGATAACCTTGGCTCCTTTTCTACGGAAGTGGTGCTCATTTCTTGTGTGAACAAAAAAGAGGAACTAGGAAAACAGGCATGTAGAAACTCAGAAGTTACATCAAGGCATTCCATACGGTCTGTGAAATATAAAGCAAGTGGGTTAACTGTGGCCCTGTAGCTTTCACATTCTCCTACTATGTGACCAGAATGGCTTTCCTGGGGATAAACCCAGCAGCCAGCACCAGAGCTACTGTAGGCTATTGTGTGAATGAAACAACCTGGGTGAAGTGAATAGAATGGGCTCAGGCAGAGCTCTGGGGATAACAGTTTCCTTATTTTCTTACCCTATTTACTTCAGAGCTCAGCTGTGGCCTGTGCAGAGGAGGAACCCATGCACACTGTGTTTTATTGCAGGTAACTGACAGAAGGGAGATGTCCTGGTGTGCAGGTGGATGGCTGTCGCACACTGAACCACCAAGAGTTCATCAGCCGGTGCCATGCACTATCATGACACGGCTGTGGTGAATGTAGTCACCTGCCTTCTGCCAGAGCCAGGTTGCCCTGCCTTTTCCATTCGCGCAGAGTATCAGAATCCTGCTGTTAATGGCCAGAATTGTTCCTGCAGCAGCTGTGTGCAGTTTCCCCTGAAACAAGGAATGAAGAGGAAGCATTTTCTTAAGAATCCTGCTTCCAGCCACTGCATACAAAAATCCCCCTTTCTCCCTCCTTCTCTAAGCTCCTTCCTATGGGTATGTTGCTAGTGTTTCTCTCTTGGCTACTTTAATCCCTTGATTTACCTCCTTTTCACTTAAAGAAACCGTCACTTTGGTGACTCTGCTCTCATGTAAGGTAGTCAGTGCCAGATAGCTCTGTTGGTTCCGATTCTAGCCTAGTGTGTGTTTTTGGGTGTGTGTTTGGAAGCGTTTCTGCTGTTTCAGTTATTGATAAAAAGTAACTCCTTACAACTTAATTTTGTCTGTATAAAACATTGTAAAGTAGATTAGTTACTTCAGCAAAGAACATTTGTTGGCCTTAGATCAAATACTCTTGATCACAGCTACAGTTCTAGTCGAAACAATATAAAAAACCAAGATGCCCTCGAGAATCCAGGGAGCAGGAGAGTGGCCAGGGAACATCATTTCTCAAAAGCTTTATTTCAGCAACATTTTGTCAAATTACTTCTGTATGTTTTACTTCATATTGCAAAAATCCAGATACATACAGAATTTTTAAGTCTCATGAAAAAAGGTTGTTACTTTATTAGGCTACAGCTATGTAAGAGTAGGATAGCTTTCCAATACTAGCAAATTCTAACCTGCAAAGAAAATGGCGTTTGCCTAAAGGTGTGCTGAGTTGCTTCAAAGTATTAGAACCAGAAACTGTTGATTAACTGCTCAAGTAGTTCTTCCTAGGAATCTGTTTTGCCAAATCCTGTCTGTTACATATCCTATGTAATCTTTTATCCAAATTCTGTCTACTATGGCAAAAAGGGGTGTGGGAAGCAGTATGGGGCAATGGATTACTGACAGTTGTGTCCGCTTGGTGGTGCTGACAACAGTTTCATCTACTGTAATTGGACAGATCTCGAAAAAATGAGAAGTAGACTTCTGAAGTACTGCGAAGTATTTCAGCCTTTTAGTCGAACCACAGTCAGTGAGAGTTCAACTGTGTACACTACCAGCAGCAGCGCTTGGCTGTGCTGCTAGAGGAAGGCGATCCGCAGGAAAGGTGATCCAGATTAGACTAAAGGGCGTTCTCAGCTGTGTCTGGAGATGGCATACTAAGAAGTAAAACCAGAAGCTTCAAAGAAGATAAGTTGTCTTGTGGGTGCCGGGAGGGTGAACAGGAGAGTTGTTCCTTGTCTTCAGCCACAATGTCGTCTTATTTCAGCATGAACTGGATTCTTCTGATTTTGTTTACAGGTAACTAAGTGGGCCTAAACAAACAGATGGAGGTGGATGGAGGTAACATGCATCAATGTTTCTGAGGTTTGCAAAGCGAGAGGTTTTATGTTACAATAGGAAGAGTGGCCATAGGGTGCAGGAACTGCAGTTTTGTGTTACGAATAGGACTTTATCACAGTGGCTCAGTAGTCTTCTGATGGCCTTGTCTCGTTTTTAAAAGAAAATAATGCTGAGGGTATGATAGTTTTGAAGATGCTACTTCTTGGGCTGTCCGCTAGTCTTACTAGGGAATGATCTTTTGGGTTTTTTAGATAAAGATGATCTGAGATAAGCAGAGAACTTTAAATCATTTTAGAAAAGATGTAAAACAAGGATATTTCACTTCAACAGGCTTTGTGAAGGTGAATGCTTAGGAAGTCAGGGAAAAGGTCTACTGTGCCTTCTGGTGTTTTTTAGCCAATATGGAATTTTATTGGGAGAAATTGATGATTCCTCCTCTTTTATTCTGAGAAAGCAATCCTCCTAGGAAAATATTGTTAAAGGCAATAGCACAGAAAACAGCAGGTTGCAGAGTGGTACTAGTATAGGCAGACAGACATCAAAAATTTGGTGGTAGGATATGTTCAGTAGGAAGAAAAGGGATATTACAGATATTGTTTCTTGTAGTTTTTTTGTGAAGCCTTTTATGACGAGATTCATTTCAAGCTTGCTTTTTTGTATTAAATAAAATACATTAGTTTGAGATTAGTTTCTAGTATGCTGTAGTGGCAAAATCTCTGCATGCAGTAACGGCTTAGGTTATGAAAATGACTGACCTAAGATAGGCAAAGCAGCTTTTTCACAAAGGACAATTGCAATCAAGCCATACAGTGCCTGGGACCCACCGGCACATGTTGGCGGACCTGCTTCGGGGAGCTCCCTTCCTAATTATAGACTAGGCTATACTTTTAATAGAGGTAATTTGTTGCCTGTACTTGCTGCAGAGAATTCTATCCCTGAAATTTTAATATGAATAGATCAAAAGATCTACACATGTGATCCCATGTTACTGAATTTGATAGGAAAGGTGCAGTAGTAAGTATATGACAAACAGTTTTCTTTTGAAGTACAAGCAGACAGAATGTGCATCTCAGGAGCCCTACTGCATAACCTGTTAGAAGAAGATGGTTACAGGATGGCCATGACTGGATCACCACAGCACAAATGATTTTGGCTGGAACTTAACACAGCTTTTATTAAAACTCTCCTAAAGGGTGTATTGACTGGAGTGGTCTAAATACATCAAAAAAACCTATCTTGCTGTGATGAATGGGCTACTGACTGCCAGGTCTCACTGTTTTGATGTGAACAGCGTGGCACAGCCTTCTGGAAATGTGAAAAATGACCTTTAATGGGAACCAAACAAGTTAGAAGCTATGTAAGAATGAGGGAAGAAAATAAGGTAGTGAAAAAAGAGAGTATAGAATTTCTCAGAGAAGCTCTGAAAAAATATCTTCTGATAGGAATGGCAAAATATGCCATTAGGCAAGAAAAAAGGAAATGTATTCAGCAGTGATAATTCTGATGAAACCTGCAGTTTAGTGGCTTTTCATTGAAAGGGAGGAAGAGTTTCCCACAATAGTTTTAATGAAAGTCAATGTCTTACTGTTCCTCCATGTGGGGCTTGGATTAAATCTAAATTAAGGGAAAAAAATAAAGAGCTAAAAGACTGGGTGTGGGTAAAGAGAAGCAACAGAATTGTGCAGATTCAAATTCTCTGCCTACCTGCAGAGGCTGCAGAAAGTGTATTTCTTCTTTTTCTGGATAGAGACCTATTCTGGACAAATCACTGTCCCACTCATTATCCCTTACTGCATCAGTCCTTCTGGGATTCACATATATTCGTGGAAAACCTGATCTAGTAATGCTTGGTGGTGTTTGTGAGATGGGAGTTACCGACTCATGCAAAATGTGTGAGAAGCTTCCACTTGTGTGCACTGTGCTCAACAACTATATTTGTCTTTTTGTCCACAGACCCCACAGTATCACAATCACTTGTGAAAGGAGAGGTTGGTCAGAATGTCACTGTGCCCTGCTTTTACAATGTTAAGACGACACAAGACATCACATCAATGTGCTGGGGTCGTGGCAGCTGCCCTGTTTCAAAATGTTATCAGGCCATTATCTGGACAGATGGATGGAAGGTGACAGAGCAGTACAACAGCAGGTATATATTGAAAGGGAACCTGCTGATGGGCGACGTGTCCCTCACGATTGTGAACGCCAAGGAAGCAGACAGTGGGATATACTGCTGCCGCGTGGAGATCTCGGGGTGGTTCAATGATCAGACAAGTAATCACAATGTTGTGATAGAGAAAGGTGAGTGTAGAGGCGTGCTCTTGTGTGAGTGCCATTATGGTAAATTTGCTGTTGGATATGGATACCAGAGCTTGTGATGGAAATTATTTCTGTAATCATCTGTAGGGCTGATCTTTAGGACTTTGCAGATCTGCCGTTAGTGCTGTTTAGCATTGTTGTAATCGCAGCACACTCAGTGCGATTAAAAAAAGGACATGGTGCTTTGTTTCATGGTGCACAGCACTACTGAGCTTTCTTAGAAACATTATTTGAAGAATTTAAGAGAAAGGGCAGCGTAGGGTACTTTATTAATCCGAAGCGTTATACTTGCACCCTTTTAATAGAATACAATGCTTCATTTTCCTCTACTTGATTCTAGAGTAAAGCCTAGGGACACAAGATTAGTATAGACAATTTTTTTTATCAACTCTCTTTGATTTTTAGTTTTTTCTTTTTTTTTTTGTAAAAAGCGTGATAATATGTGGAACAAGTGGCTGACAGATGTACTTGTAATTTTTATTACAGAAACACTTTCTCTTTTTCATTACATAAATGCACACTAAGGTTAATTATAATATATGTTGGTGTTGTTTTATTTTTTAATATCAGCTAGGACCTCTACTGCAAGTCCTCACACTTACACCTCTGAACAGACCTCAGGTAACTTTTATCCAAGTATTAATCTCAATAGCATATATAAACTGTATTGCAAATGGTGATCTTAGGAAGGAAAGAAAATGATAGATGATAGAAATGTCTTGGCCAAAATTTACTAAACATTACCATAGAACCAGAGATCAGAACTTGGGTTTAAATTCTGCCAGACATTATATAGAGAGTCCAACAGAAGGAACATGTATATGTGGGAGGAAGCCTGCTTCCAGATGTTATGCTTAAGTAGGTGTTTTATTGGTGCTGTAAGCATTGTGGCTGTTGTTTTCTTTGTGGTATAAAATCTCACCTTGTCTTCTGGAAATGCATCCCATGAACAGTTAAACACAAATTTTTAGGAGCTGGGTGTGCCCACTATTTAATCAATTTATTTGTTGCTCTATAACATAGAACTGTTTTTTTTGGGTTAGCTCAAAAGTGCGTCTAATTCAGGATCCTACCTCCTGTAGCTGTCAACAGCAGATGATTAAGGAGGATCATAGACACTGGGCAGCAATTTTGTGTTACAGTGCCAAAGTGGTGTTCTACCCTGGTATAATATGTGTTTCGGAGGCTGCCCATGTCCTCTGTAGCCTATGCATCCTTAATAATGTGAGGCTCCTCATTGTAGTGGCAGAGATAGTGAGCAACTATTCCTCACTCAGTTTCTCCATTCCATTCACAAGTTTATAGATGTCTATCACATCAGCTGCATCTTTTTCAGTCTGAAAAAGACAACTTTAATTTGCAGTACACAAGAGAGAGATCATAGTGTAACAATAGCTTATTCTTTGTATTTTGAAAGAAAAATCAGGAGTGCCGTTTGTAGTTCTCCCTCCATCACAGAAGTTTCCAGCTAAGCAACTCTAAAATGTTATAACAGTTGCATTTCCTTTTTGGAAGAAGTGAAAACTTTCTCAGACTGTTTCTGTTCTAGTTGCAAATAACATGACTTCCAATTTTAGAACTCATGGGTTTTCGTAACTGTGACATCTTCCTTAGCTGCTGGAGGAACAATTTTTTTATGTTTTCAGAATACAAGTTAATATGTGCATGTTCACACAGAGGCTGGCAAAGGCGGGTGACTGTGTGCCTCTGATGCAGGCATACTCCAGAATCGCCAATGGAAGGGAACAGTGAAGCAGATGATCTTACCCTCTTCCAAATAAAGCTTCTGGGATAAAGATAACAATTTAAAACATCAAGGGAACTGGAGTTCTCATAATGAGAACAGGAGATTTTATTTTCAGGAGGGTTGTATATCATCTGACAACACATGGAGAAACTGAGACTTATGATATGGAAGACATAAGTTTGTAGCTCTGAATTTTAAATATTGCAAACAGCTTTGCTCTGGGAAGTTGCCTCAAAATATGCTGCAGGTCCTTATGCAAACATATTACATTTTGGTCAGTCTGTTTATTGTATAGCTGTCTGGGACTTTAAAAGTATCTCTTGCATTCTCTAAACTTGGTGCCACTTGCTCTTTCAAGGCCCTGAGCTAACCTTAATCAGTTTTCAACAGGTAACCTAAGTTTGCTTTAGGCATCCACTACCTCTTCTTGGCTCTAAAAACAGATGCCTGCCTTTGTAACTCCTTCCTTCTAGGCCCTGTATAGAGGTAACAGCAAGACCTAAGTGTTTCCTGGAAGGAGTTCAGAGCTCTGAAAAGGGCAGCAGAGGCTCCAATATTCAGTTTTGTGCCACCCTCTGAAGGCACCAACCTCTTTATGATATGCAGAGATGACATTCCTGATAGAGAGATACTTTCGTGGTCCCAAGTCAGCAGTACAAATTCCTCTTTGCCAAGGCAGAATGATTCTCTGTGCAAGTGATGTGTTTGTCTTGCCTTTGCTCAGCTCATGGGAGCACCAGTGAGTCAGCCTTCACCATCACAAGAACGTGGCCATCAGTTTCTGCTTCGGAAGCTCCTCAGACTGTAAGCATCTCTGTTGTGCAATAGCATACCTGGACAAAGTGGATAGACATGAGAGGTTAATGGGTCATCCCTACAGTTCACTTGTACTGCTTTAGTTTGATTGCAAAAGAATATTTTTTTTTGGTAGTCTGCTTGTTCAGTGCTTATGAAAGAATCATAGAATCATTATGGTTGGAAGAGACCTCAAAGATCATCAAGTCCAACCGTATACCTGATGCCACCATGCCTACTAAACCATGTCTTGAAGCACCACATCTAAATGTTTTTTTGAACACCTCCAGGGACGATGACTCCACCACCTCCCTGGGGAGCCCGTTCCAATGCTTAACAACTCTGACAATGAAGTTCTTTCTAATGTCGAGCCTGAACCTCCCCTGGTGCAACTTGAGACCGTTTCATCTCATCCTATCGCTAATTACTGGGGAGAAGAGCCCAACCCCCGCCTCGCTACAACCTCCTTTCAAAATGCTTGCGTTCATTATTAAAGAGGGAAAAATAATTGGTTTTGCGTGCATAAAGTACTTCCTACTAATGCAGGAAGAGCTTTAGGAACATCTATACTACCTTTCAGGCCTCCAGTCCCTGCTCAAGCACCTCAGACTGCTTGGATGTAACCACAAACCTGCAGGTATGGTGGGTTATAGGGAAGAGTTGAAATTGGACCACCTGACAGCACAGGGATGCCCTGCACTCCCTGTGCAATGGGGTTCAAACAGGCAGCTCTATGTCCTGTGGAGTCTCCAGCACATATTGCAGAATGATAGGCCGTAACATCACCCAAATTTTATCAGGAAGACAAGACCACCAAGCTAGCCTTTGGGAAGGCCTGCTGTAGTGTGCTACAAGGTAGTATGTGCTGTGGGTATTCATATTGCTGCATCTGCATAATGTAAGTCGGGGATCATACTGCACTTCAGCATCTTTCCAGGCCTGAGTTCCTAATGAGAGGTTAGATATCTAACAGCTGGCTTCAGAAAGAGGTTTTGCCTAAATAAAGACCAATGCGAGGAGAAGGCATATTCACTTACCTATATAAAGCCTTGAATAACTACTGAATAAACTGACAAAAAGGCAGGATGGTGTGACACCAGGAGATATTTTAATGATAAAAAATATTCACCAAATAGTATTAAACCTGAACAAATGGGATTTGTCTTAACTCCAGCTCCTTTGACAGTCTCAAAAAACAATGTGTTTAACAGCATGATTCACACAGCTGTTGCAGTGATTCTGCTTGAAACTAGTCCTGTATCTCAAATTTGGCTCTTGCTCTCAAGTGTACTTCTACTGCAGGGTTGCAAAACATACAAATGGCAAATGGCCTTTTGGTACTATATGGGCTTCTTGCTGTTGGTGCCACTAATGCTCATCTGTTCTGTCTTTGACAGAACATGTCTGTGTCACTTCACAGTCATCAGTATTCAGAAAATGGACTATACATTGGGATTGGTTTATGTGCGGTACTTCTAGCCATCCTCATTTTGGCTCTGTTCCTTACTAGACGTAAGTACTTTTCACAGGTGGTTATTTGAGGATTGGTCAGGTATGACTAATCACAGCTGTGGCAGATGCCACATCTGCTTCAGGGAAGTGAGCTAAGGTCTCTGAATGACCTCAGTCTGCCCTGTGCTGTGGTTGCTCACTCAACTGTACCCCTTAGCCTCTGGGGCACAGAATGGCAAGGTGTGAATGTGGTCTCATCTCTCAGACTCCTTAGCAACCAGTTGATCCATGGTCTGGTGAGGACATGCGTGATACAAGCCCACCTCTCCTGCCCCATTCATTTCTTCCTACCCATTCCTCAGTTGCCATGTTGTCCCAGTCCTTCCCAATGATAATAGGAAGGGCACTGGTTTCATATGACTATATCTAATATTTTTTCTACGTGCCAGACTTTCTGCATAGAGGCTCTTGGTCAGACCAAGCCATATGAATTTAGATATGATGGAAATAATGGGGATTTCCTATACTGAAAACATCTGCTTAAAGTTCCCTTATTTAGTTTCTTACACTTTAAATTTTTTTAGCCCATTACTTTACTTGCTTCTGATGGCTTAAAGAAAATTATTTCTTTTCTTTCTTTTTTTTTCCTTTATTTTCATTCTGCATGGTCTTAGAATATTTATACAGTACGAAGAAGACAAGTGACTTTGCAAAGTAAGTATTCTGTTTCTGCCGTAGCTAATAGGACAAACTAGGTTGTAGAAAGAAAATGTCGTCAGTATGCTGACCACTCCACCATGTACTCTGACTTCCTCTTTTAATGTCAAGTTAATAGGAAACATTGCAAAAAGAAATTAATAAATCTTGCTACTTATCATTAGTTAGTAAGCAAAAGTTAGTCTAACTGTCAGTTCATTGCATTAGGGAGCATGCAACTTCAAGTGTGGGTTGTCTCATAAGTGGAAAAATGATTCATTATCAGTCATGTTTAAATAAGTGGTTTTGCATATTTTACATTTTTCCAGTGTGTGGTTGATTTAGCTATCTGCTTTATGTGTTCCTATTGTCTGTTTTTTTTGTTTAACAGCATGGTTTTTACTCTTTTGTGCAGCTTTGTTGCATTTTGGAGGCCAGAAGGTGCAGGGAACCATAGTGCTTTGGAAGATGAGATCCATGCAGAGGAAAACATTTATATAATACACTAAGGACTGTATGCATGCTTGCCTTTGTCAGCACTGGGACATTAAATAGTTTGCAAAATGTTAGCTGCTCTCTCTGCTCGGTGGCTAAACGTGACTGGATTACTGAAGCATTATTCACATCATTCTAATAAAACAAATAAAAGCTACACTTCTAATTAAAAACTTTATCAACCTGTTCCAGAAGCAGAAACTATACTGGCTTTTGAATGGAAATTTCCAGAATCCACTTAACAAACACTAAAGAAAGTTACCATTCTATTTATTATCTGCTTCAAATTCTCTCTTCTGAAAAAAGAAGAAGTGCTAGAACGGCTACTGTGTCACAAAAGGAAAACCACACACTTTTAATAAGTTTGTATTTACTGTGTAATATATCTGGAGCTACCAAGGAGTCCATGCCATCAGAGAGCAGAAGCAATCTTGTAGCTGCGATGACAAAGATGACAAATGGGAAAACTTGATAGTATTAGTATTTCAATATACATTTAGTTGAATTTTCATTAGAGTCAGGTATACCTAGTCCTGGTAACAGCTCAGTAAAGCAATGTACTAATTCCTATCCACTCACAGTTAAATCTGGAGGAGCTATTGATGCTCAACCCATCACGGGATGTCCTCGGAGCCTACAGTATCAGTGCTTCAATGTGCAGAATATTCACAGCTTGTTTTCACAGAACTATGATTAAGTGCATTTCCTCTGTGAAATGTCACCTTTTTTTCCTCTGTGGCTTTCTCCTTGAGTGTGCATCTGCCCTGAGAAGTCCTTAAGTAGAAAGTCTTACTTCTACGCTTCTCAAGCAACTGAACAAAAAAGAATCACTTTGTATTAAATTCTTACTTTTCTTAGCTTGTGGAAAAGTTATGGATGTTGCACAAAGCATTGGCTGAAAATTTGCCCTGAATTTTCACCCCTCTAGATATCAAATGACACTAATGTCTTATGCTGAATTTGTTTGATAGCTTTTAGCTCATAAATGGAGAGTATCTGTGGTCTACTGCCTTTCTTCTGTTGCTCCTCAGTTAGACCTGGCTCTCAGCTTTTATTCTCTGCAACACTAAGCTTTGGTTTACTTAAGTAAATGGAGGCAGCCCTATGAGGATGAATCAACACTATGTGTTGCTGAGCAACAGACACAACACACCTAAATCGGCTTTAAGTGGAAGAATAATTTTCCCCAATCGTTTTTAAGAACACATTTTTAAACGGAGGCTGGGGGCTTCCTGAAAGAGCAGAAAAGTAGTACAGGCAGGAGAGACACCAGCCCTTACCAAATGTTGGTCAGTACAAATTTTGTCCTGAAGCTTATCCCAAGCAGCAGTGTGGAATACCTATGGTAGACATTGCTGCCATGGGGAAGACTTGCAGATTTACTGCAAGATTTCTTTCATTGAGTTCATAATTCTCAAGGGAGTCATGAGAAGAACAAAGCTGTATTATCCAATGAGGCATAAAGGAGCAATAATAAAGTCAGTAGTGTTTATGTTAACAGCTGAGACACTTGAGGCCATGGTCTAGTTGTGCTTTAAGGAGAGCTGGGGTCAGTGGAGCAGTTACCCATCCTTCCCCCAGCTGGTAGAGATGGGAGGGCTTGAGCAGGCTGGGGAGGGGAGCATTTTCCCCCAGAAGTCCTGGAGACCCTGGCTAAGGTGGGATACTGCAGGTGAGTGTGGTTGCAAAGAATCCTGAAGGAGGGAAAGGCTCCTCATGCTGCTGAGGAAGGAAGAAATAGAAAGCAAGTTGAGACAGATGACCCTAGTGTGCTTTGTATTTTTGCTTGTGCTGTGCACTGTCTTGGGGCTGTCTGTTGGAGGAGGACTAAAAGATTGAAAATGTGGAGGTGAATTCATGGCTGACTGAAGAGCTCAGTGTGGAAGCACAGATACTAGGTGATTACTGATCCCCAGGCCAGGAAAGGCAGTGAAGGAACTCAGCTCTGCCATTTTCTGTCTACATGTCACGTGTTGCCTTGTGTAAGAAGGTACCGAAACTAGAAGGAACCTGCTAGTGGTAGACTGTATTTTTGTATTTGACTATTAGTAACAATTACTAAACTAAAATGACAGACCCCACTGCAGACATTGCATGCTTTCTGCCTGGCTGAGCATGTCACCACGGTGGGCTCTAGCTTGTGACCGGAGCTGGGGGAAGTCTGATCTGGCCTCTGAAGTAGATGTCAGATAATATCTTCGGCAATTTCTGCTTTCTGCCTTTTACCAAATCAATCTCTACTGGTATCAGAGCTAGATGAGTGTGTGGTTTCCAAAATTATCTGATTCCAACCACTCATCCTCTTAAGGAGTGTGAGGACCATCCTTGAAGATTGCTAATCATGAAAACTGCTTGCCCATAAGGATTTTTTTCTTAATATTATAGGCTAATTCAGACTAATTCTTATATCGGAGAGTTTTTATTCAAGATAGAGTTCTAGAAAACCAAAATCTTGATTAAAGTCTCCTTTCTGCTGTGCAGTTATGTGGTAAACAGATTCTGCAAAGGTTGTGTGGAGCAAGAACTTCACTTTGGATATGCGGTATAATACATACAAATACATGCAGGCAGAAGCTCCCTGCACTTTTTCATTACTTCCACTTGTGTCAGTGGGTGTTGGAATAGGCATTTCAAAATGAGCCCCAGAGATGTGCAGGTGGCACTTGGAGCTCGTTCACCTGTGAAGAGATTATCCAGCTGCACATAAACTGGCAGCACATTGAGCACTATAAGGCTAAGTAACCAGCTGCAAACTGATTTTTTTGAGACAGCTCTCTGCCTTTTCTGCCTGCAAGAAGCCACTAGATAGCAGTACAGAAGCAGAAAGCAAGCCACATTTTTCTGGTTCTTCCCAGCACACTTGGATTTTGGGTGGCCTTTTTCAGTTCACTCTGCTGCATTTAGCCCAGTCTTGCTAAAGAAACAAAGCTGACATGATCCTGTGTTCATCCTCTTACTTCCCTAGTAACCTACAACATACTGACCAATTCTGTTTTGACAAGCTTCATGGAAACTGGTAGCTGGATAGTGGTCCAGATTTGTGCCTCAGGTGGGATTCAGCTTCTCCCTGCACTGGCATCAGCTGGGCATGGGCTTCCAGCCACTGCTTAATGGTGAGTGATGGGAGACAAAGGAGAAACTGGGATCATTGCAGGGAAAAAATCTCCAGGATATTGGTCACAACAGATTTCATTAGTTCTGTTCACAGAACAGCTGGGGCTATGTGTACTTGGCATTGTATGAACTGTACCTGGTAGAATATAGCAAATTAGATATTTTACTGATTGCTGGTTAACCTGTCTTATAAAGTTGACAATAAACCACTGCTGTATTGTTGTGTCTATCCCCACTTGTTGCTATTTGTGGTGCACTGAAGCATGTGAAGGTATGGAGCAGCATTACAGCATCTCTTTGATTCAGAATAAACTCAGAATAGTTCTCTGAGTTTCACACTGCTTGAATCTGCCGCTAAGTTGGCTACAGCAGCATCAGTTGGCTACATGCTGATGAAAGAAACCAGACATCCTGGCTTTGCTGGAGCCCAGGCTATTGAGGATCTACTTCTTGCCACCGTAATGTAGTGGTGGCATGATGGATAAGGATCTTAATGAGAGGTAGCCTCCTTCTCCAATGTGCTACTGAGTCCAGCAGGTCTGCAAGCACAAGAGTCCTTCTCTGATGCTGTGTTGGGGAAGGGGAGCTATCAAACAGCTAATTCATCTCCAACCTTCCTGCGCTACTCAAGATTTTGCAGACGTGTTCATGGTGCCCCTTAGGTTATTTCTTTTCTAGACTGACTCATACTGGACTACCCATCTAATCCTCCTGTGGAAGCTCTTCCATACTGTCTGCCATTCTTTTTGCCCTTCCTGAAATCCTTTCTGGATCTAACGTATGCTTTGAGAGGACTAGAACTATACATGGGATCCAAGACAGATTTGTACAGTGGTGTAATGCTGTCTTCTGCTTTGTTTTCTATTGCTTTACTAATACATGCTAAAATTTAATTTGCCTTTTTTAATGCTACCAAGCAGAAGGGTTATATTTTCATGGGCTTGACTACTCATGATAAGCCAAAAATCTCCTCTTTGAGGGCGTAATGTCTGGTTAAAGCCCATCATTTTATCATTTGAACTTGGAATTGCTTCTCCTGTTCACACCATGCTACATTTATTTGCACAGAATTTTGTCTGTCTGCAGTTCTTCATTCCTGACCTTAATGCCCTGAATTACTTTTGCTTTATCACTTCTTTCTAAGAGAAGAACTTCCAGATAACTTCTTTATCAATTGGTCAGAAAGAGTAAAAAAAAAAGTCAGAAAGATTAGAGTATTTCTCGGAGTTGGTGTTGCGGATCTTTGGGAAGGACGTTGTTTTGGCAAGAAAACATTTGTGAGAGTCTCTCCAAGGCTGTCTTTGCAAATAGAAAACATGAAGCTGGTGAAAGAAAGAGGGGGGATGTTCAAGCAGAAGGCAGAATCAGAGAAAATGAAGGGGTTAAGAAGATGTGAGCAAAGACAAAGTCAGAGCTGGAGACTAAGCCAGGTGTTCCACAGAATCACAGAATGGTCAGGGTTGGAAGGGACCTCCGGAGATCATCCAGTCCACTCCCCCTGCCAAAGCAGGTTCAAGAGTCTAAGAGTGTGAAAGTATAGAAGTGTAAGAGCACAGACCTTGTTCTTGCTGCTCAGCACCGCAGAATGGTAATGGGCTTTAAGAGTTCCATGGAAAGGCAAAACAAATAGTGTATTGAAATCTCTGGTGGTAATACCATGCTGAATGTCTTGGAAGACAAAGGAGAATAGGATAGAATGGGATAGAATCATTCAGTTGGAAGGGACCTACAAGGATCATCCAGTCCAACTGCCTGACCACAGGGCTGACCAAAAGTTAAAGCATGTTATTAAGGGCATTGTCCAAATGTCTCTCAAGCACTGACAGGCTTGGGGCATCGACCACCTCTCTAGGAAGCTTGTTCCAGTGTTTTACCACCCGTGCGGTACAGAAATGCTTCCTAATGTCCAGTCTAAACCTCCCCTGCTGCAGCTTTGAACCATTCCCACATGTCCTATTGCTGGATCCCAGGGAGAAGAGACCAGCACCTCCCTCTCCACGTCCCCTCCTCAGGAAGGTGCAGAGATCAATGAGGTCCCCACTCAGCCTCCTTCTCTCCAAAGTAGCCAAACCCAGAGTCCTCAGTGGCTCCTCATCGGACGTGCCTTCCAGCCCTTTCACCAGCTTTGTGGGCCTCCTCTGGAGGCATTCAAGTACCTTAACATCCTTCTTAAATTGTGGGGTCCAGAACTGCACACAGTCCTCAAAGTGAGGCCACACCATTGCTAAATGCAGGAGGAGAATCACCTCTTGACCAGCTTCTATCCGGAAGCATAGGAAAGAAGCAGTTGCAGTACATAAAATCTGGAAATGGAGAAATGAGACTTCAGTGGGGCTCACTCAGCATCTCTGGAAAGTGCAACATCTGATTTTCTCTCCTTCCACTTGGTGCTCTGGAGTCTCCATCAGCTAAAATGTCCCATTTTGTGCTGTTTCACTGGATTATGATACAGATCTTTGTAGGTGAGTCTTCGCCTGCTTTTTGTGTGCTTGCTCGGAAAAAAATTTTGTAAAATTAAACCAAGCGATGCTTGTTTTGTGAAAACAAAACAGTGAAAAAGGTTGTAATTGTATACAGAACTTCAAAAGTTTTCTTAACTTATTGAGTTAATACTGATTGAGAATTTTTTTTTTCTTTTTAAAAATGCATGTGGTTTCCTCTGTGTATAGGCTTGGTTAATTCCCCTGTCCCCTTAGATTATCCAATTTCTGTACTACTGTTAAATGTGTACTGCTGGCTTTGCTTCTTCATCTGTCTCTCCACCATGCTACAGTGCTGACACAGCCCAAGCCAGGGAATTGAAATATTGACAGAGTCATGAATGTATGTACATGATAAAGAAAGGGTTTTCTGAAACTCTGAGGGCTGTCTGCTGCTATGAACTGAGTGTGGGAAAGCACGGCTGGAGATTCCCCTCCTTTTACTCCTAAATGTTCGGTTCATCCATCTAAAATCTGAATCTTAGAAGAGACAGAAGTCAAAGAAGAGTACTTGGGAGACTGGGTCTCGCAAGTGTGGTTGGTATCGGCTACATTTCTGCATGTGCATTTAGGCATCAGCAATGCAGTTTCCAAACTACCTGAAGTGGCTCAGGAATGTGGGGTTTTCAGCAGGACATGAACTCCTAATGGGAGTTGTGCTTTTAAATCACTTGGACATTTCAGGAAATTCTGTTTCAGATTACTAAATATTAATTGGCTAACCTCTGCCAGGATGGAATATTATGTATAACATCTACAGCAACTGCAATGTTCTTACATTGATGTGAAAAGTAGTGGAAGAGTTTGGTCAGCAGTGAGACACACTGAGAGGCAAGAAGTGATCTATGCCCTGTTGAGGCAAGGTAACACAACCTCCATGGTGTCTGCTGCACAAGTGGAGCTTCACCAACACATTGCTGTAGCTCAGGGAATTCCATAATATTTTTTGTTTCTTCTTTTTCAAGAAGAAACAAGAGGGCTCTTTCGTTGCCATATCCTCAGCCTCAAAATAAATAGGAGGTACTTGCCTCCATTTGGTCTTATTTTCAAAAACTTTCTTATATGCAGAGCTACTGCATACTACTTACCTTCTCTTTAACTTGGCTCAGTGCTGAGGATGGGTAGTCCTGAGACTCAGGAAACCAGCAGAGTGGGCAGTTAAATGCTTCTTTTCTGTTTATTAGTCATTTTCTCTGCAATTTCATCAGTACACAAGCTTCAAGAAGAAATAAAAAAAAATAGGGTTGATAGGGAAAAGATGCTAAATATCTTCTACAAAGAAGGAAAATTATTCCAGAAATAGATCAAGAAAAAAAAAATATTCTTCTACAAGCTGTCTTCACTGGAGGATGTATGTCTTTGTCCATCCAATGACCAACTTACAGGAGAGAAGACCACTACAACAGCAACTATTGGAGTTACTGCTTAATACCAACAGTCACTGAGGGTTGGTTCAAGAGAGACTGTATATAAATATGTGTGTATATGTATGAGCTGAACAATTATGAACACCCTTTTCTATTTTGGAAGATATATTAAACATCTGGACATTTCTGTCTCGCTTGGATTAAGGACTTAAAGTGGCAAACCTCACTGACTTCAGTGGGACTACCCAGTCATAGCTGATGCTCAGGGTGCCTTGGGCCGAATCTGGATGCCCTGGAGGGTCACTGCTATGGACAAGGGTAGGATTTGTCTCACAGTAAGACTACAGTGTCACAACACAACAGTCTCAGGAACCTCTGAATTTCAAAGACATGTTCATTCAGTCCTGTTTACTATTTATTTTGGAAAAATGTGTCTGTGGAAGAGGCTGCAACTGAGAAGGAAGTTATTTAGTCCTTGCAGAGGTTCATACTATTGAATCAAGGCTGTTGTGGTATTGAAGCTTTCCATACCAACCTGCAGTGCAGGCAGATGTTAGCAACATTAGCTTCACATAAATTAAAAGAGGATTTGAAACTGCAAAACCTATAACTTCCTAGCACCAGTACTGTTGGGAAACTGCACTGGAGACAGTCTGGTGCCTTGTGTCTTCCCTCTTCTTTTTATTTATTTATTTAATAAGTTCAGGGCTCTGCTTCTTTCAAAGAGAAAAGCAGGCAAATTTTCATTTGTTAAAGGGTTGCTTAATGAAGCTGCTTTTGTGCTGTGCAGGACTGGGATGAAATAAGAATAGGTGGTGAACCCATTTCTCCTCAAGCAGCAGTGGTCTTAACTTCAGGAACAGTTCAAGCCGGTCTTGGTTTTGCACGCATCTTTGTTGGGGTGACTTGAAAATATGTGTTAGCCCCCTCGATGACTAAGCCCTGCTCCTCTAGCGATACTTTCAAGGTCAACTGAATGAACTGTTTTGTCCTGTCATGACAGAAAGAGTCTGTTTTCTCTGTTTGTTTTGCTGTAACAAGGCAAATGAACCTATCCTTTCCAAGGACTAAAACAAGCAGCCATCTCACAAAGCCTTATCCTGTATTCAGGAATTAATTTTTTGGCACATCTTACCTTCATTTCACTGCAAAAGCTTCTGCCCTTCACACCATATTGCATGTTGTTTTGTCTGTCTTTACTCTTTTAGCATTTGGATCTGTGGAAACCTGAACGAGTTGGCTTATCTTGCCAATGGGATAAGCAATAACGAGGCTGAAATGTCATCCCAATAACAAGTAATGAGGCAGCCAGCCACAGACTAAAACCTCACCTGGGGAATAGTCCATTAAAGACAAAACAAAAGAGACATGGACACAGTTGGAAGCATCTGTTTGCTATCTGGGAGCCATGCCAAAAAGAAAAGGCATTCAAACAGCTGGCAAAATAGAAATGTTTGGCAAACCAGGGCCAAAGCTGGTGATAATAGCAGCAACTGCTGTAACTCCTCTTTGGGGTAAGCAAGCTGGCCATGAGACATGAGATCTGCAGGATGATCCTCTTCCTGGAACAGAGGACCAGATCTGGATGCTCCCCAGGTCCCTCAGTTCCTGCTCCACCATATGTAAATGATAGCATGGGGAAAAAAGGCAACAAGGTAGGAGGATCAACGTGGACTAGATGAATGTAAACCAGGAAAGATTTGTTCCTGTATGGGAACCTTTTTTCTATAGCACCTTTCATGAAGAAGAAATCCCTTTTAGGGCAATCTGGGAACTACATAGACAGTTAAGAGGGAACAATATGTAGCAAAGATTCAAACCAGATGCTAAGGTGTGTATTGGCTGTAAACACCAAGTAAACTGGTCATTAAGAGAAAGAACAGAAGGAAAGCATGCATATGCTCTTTTTAACATCAGTATAAAGCTAGCAGTTAAAGCTTCTATATACGCAGTGCTCTGCAAGGTAAGTAGGATAGTTGGCAGGGTTTGCTCTGAAACAGAAAAAGCAGTGCACTTCCTGAGAACAGGTTCCCACAGACAGATCCCACTGCTCTGCCAGCTTAATTAGGCCCTAATTTCACACATGAATAGGTATTTTGGACCCTGCTATTGAGACTGACAGTGAAAGGCAACTATGACAGCATTTCCTTTTTGAAGGAGACGATGGTGGACTGAGAAAACCAGATGTATTTCACACCAGGTTTCTGAACATCTTTCAAACAGTCTCTTTGGAGAGGAGAGGGGCTGGGAGCAGAGTTCCCAAATTCCATTTGCACAGATGTAGTCGGTGCTCGGGCTGCCAGCGACAGACCTCAGCTTCGCTCACCACATGTTTGATGTGAGCGATGTATTTCGTGAGCAGCCCTCCAGCAGCTGGCCAATGTCTGCGAGCTCCTGGCTGTTGCCGATAGTGCCGCGGGCCATTAGGTGCCACAGGCTCCAGGGGAAGGCTTGGGGGATCAGTATCTGTGGCCTGCTTGCAGGCAGGAGTGTTCCTTTTCCTGCCTCATTGTGTTGCATGGGTAAAGTCACGCATCGGAGACTGCCAACACTCATTTTTCCTTGTTCCTTGACAGAGCACACCGCATCCGAAGCTGTTGTTAGAGGAGTAATAGGGCAACCTGTTCAGTTGCCTTGCTTTTACCAGGTGGCACGACAGAAGGACATCTCCGATATGTGCTGGGGCAGAGGCCCGTGCCCAAATTCAAAGTGCAGTAACAAAATTTTGCACACCACTGGGAATAGGGTGACGTTCAGAAAATCTCAGAGATACAATCTCCAGGGCTATATTTCCTATGGAGATGTGTCTCTCACGATTGGGAAAGTGAAGGCAGAAGATGCAGGTACATACTGCTGCCGCATAGAGATCCCGGGTTGGTTCAACGACATCAAACAGAACATGCGACTGGAGGTGGTCAGAGGTGAGTTTTGGGGTCCTTCCTGATACAACCAGCAGAAAGAAACCTCTCACTGGATAGGAGGTTAAAATTGGAGTTCATGTCTGCTTTTTTTGTTTGTTCGATTTGGCAAAAAGTTTTTTCCTAAATTACTTCATTTTTCAAGGGAGGACTGCAACCAGTTGCCAATTTGAATCACACTCAATGCGCAATTTCAATGAGAAAATAGTAACTTTTACCCTTTTTTTGCCTTTCAAATGAAATATTTAATTTCTCATTTTGTAGCTACATTTCATGTTTTAAACGATGATGGAATGAAAAAAGAGATTTATTATTTGAAGAGCCCTTGGAATGAAATTCAGTTTTTCATTTGGGGTTCACCCCAACACCAAAAAGGCTTTTGTTTGGTTCATGTCATAAGGAGACCCATGTGTTTAGAAATTTTATCTCAGAGTCTGAAAGGACTTTTTCCCCTTCCTATTATTTTGCTGAGCTGCAGGATAAAGCAAGGGTCTTACAAAGTCAAGAAGAGGCTGAAAAGCATTGCAAAGCACAGAAAAAAAAAGATGGTACCCACCCTCCACACTGCAGAAAGAGAAATTTTTTTCTGACTTTTACCGGATGTTCAGGAGCGCAATTGGTGCCGATGTACACAGCACTCTTGTATGCCTGTTACAAGCGATATAACAGGAGAGTGGGGGAAAAATGCTGCAATCCCATGTCTATCCCCGAGTTTGAGGGCAACAGAGTTCATAAAAAAGGACTGGTTGAAAAGATTAGAAAGATTAGCAAGAAGCTTGTAGCTGAAAATTGAGCTATTTTATTTATTTTATTTTTATGGAGACATTGAAAAGCAAAGTCGCAAAGTTTGCAAGTTTTTGGGTTCTGCCACGTGAGGTTCTGGCCCTTCCATTTCTGTAAGAGGGTCAAGGACGGAGTGTTTGAGACCTACTAAAAAAAAAAAGCAAATCTGTAAATCTGGGAATTGCTCTGGCTGGGGTATGTTTTCTGCTAATTAAACAACCTTTTTAAGTAGCAACTCTCCCACCTTCATTCTTAGTATTTTAGCAGCTAGATAATTTTCATTCATTACTGGGTTGGCTTTCCTCAGGGTCGGTTGTGAATGCTCTGATCTAGCTTTTCTCTTGGCTATGTTTTGTCCATGCAGCCCTTCCAGTGATGACAACCACCACGAGAAAGGCTCCTGTTTCCCCTAAGCACTTTAGAAAAACAACTTTTGATCCCCAAGCAACCTCTGATCATCAAACAACAGCAGAGATTGCTGTCCTCCTGACAACCACCATCCCCTCAGCAACAACTGCAACCACCGAGCCTCCAGCCGTAATTACAGTGGAAACCATTGTTCCTCCAACTTTTGCTGTGACAGCAAATGATATTTTTCCAGAAACTATGGTGACAACCAGTGCTCTCCCAGACTTTTCAACTGATTTCCAAGCAACTGACCTGAGGACGGAAGATGACGATGTGTTCTGCCCAGAAGAGTCTGTCCCCCTTCCTGGAGGTACAAAGAGTAACCAGCACCAATCCTTTCTTTTTTTTTTCTGTGTAACAGAGATGGTCTGTATTAGCCTGACTCTGGCATCATAAAGACTCTTCAGATGATACTTATATTTGTAGCTGGGAAGTTTTCTCTGAGATGCCTATAGGTATGTCTCAGTAGGTTTAAGGAAACACAGGTCAAATATGGATGATGCCAGACTGGGGTGAATGGCCAAGATAGCAGAGGGTTGGGCTTGCATTCAGAGGAATTTTAACAGGCTGGAGAAAGAACGTGACAGAAACCTCACAAAATACAACAGAAATACATGCAAAGTCCTGCACCTGGGATGGAGCAGGAGAGATTCACTCAACTTTGCAGTAATTTTTTTGCTTGATTTGGGAAAGGCAATTGAAATGGTCTGCTGGAAAGTTTAGTTTAGAGCACATGCTGCTTGAGCAATGAATTCAGTGAGAATTCAGTGCTTAAAATTGAGTACTTACATTGTCATCCCATGCAAAGGCTGGTATTATTATTATTTAGTTGATCAGAGTGACCTATTATCATCCTAACCATTCTTAGGTTGCCACTTTATCCACATCAATGACTTCTTTTCCACAGATTTATGTCTGCATGCAAGGCTGTTTTTTGCACCTTTCTTGGGTCTTCTGTCACTTGAAGTTCTTTCTGAACTGAACCTCTGAGGAGACCTTTTCTGTACCATCTCTTGTCTTCCAGCTGTAATAACATGCCCCAGTTAAATCTGGCAACAATTAATTACATCTACAGCTGAACAGTTAAAACATCTAACCACTGGCCATGCTAGTAAAGTACATCAGTTATCTGGGTAGGGTGAGCTGCAGGTGTGAAAACTGAGGTGCAGGTTTTCACCTCTTAGTTGCAGATGCGGAACGGTGCAAGCAATTTTGAATGCCATATGAACCACCCCCACCCCCCCCAGCTGTGATCTTTATAAACATTACTTTTTACTTTGTTTCAGTGACTACCGAATTCCCAAGTACACTTCCAACTGCAGAGGGAACTAAAAGTGCTGACACTTCTGTTGTGGTGGAAGATGTGCCAACTGCAGGTGAGTAGGATAGTGATGCAAGGTCAGACATTGCATCAGAGAAATGAAGAAGTTGTCATAAACAAAAGTATTGACTATTCTTAAGAGTGTACCAAAAATATATTGATCACTCTTCGTTGCATCTGGAAGTAAGAGGTATCTGGGGTCTACACAGAAATTTTTTGAAATCAGGATGGAACAACAGCTGAGAAAAACATGTTTTTAAGCCTCCAAAGGAAGTAGATTTTGAGTCACTCACCACTGTCAGGTATCTCAGGTCTGAGAGAATTGAAGAACTGGTCTTTGTCACCATCCAAGCTGATTTCTCAGATATCTGATTTGTCATCATTGTGAGTTCATTGAGCTTTCCATTTTAAATCCTTCCTCAGTGTTGTGAACTTTGAACCTCACTGAACATATTCAGCCAGATGTGACTGCAGGCTCAGCCCTCCATTGCTTAACATGTGTTCTTGGTTGTGATGGAAAGCAGCAGGCAATTACCACAACTATCAGTCATTCCTTCAAGAGAAAAGGAACAGGTATACAAAATCATACCATATCTGAGAAGTGAACAAACTTACATGAGGTTTTCACTTCATGTCTCTCAGTCAAGTACAAAAGTAGAATGGCCCAAGTTATTCAGGTGTAATAGCCTGCCCACCAGATGCCCTTAAATGAGGACTTAAAAAAAGGAAAGCTAAAATTCAAGGATGACGTGTCATTTCCTTGTTAAGAGAGTCCTTTTAGTTTCAACTAGTGCCAAGAATCAGTTCATTCTTAAAAGCACAGTATTTAGATTTTTGCAGGTCTTCTTTTGCTAGACCTAGAGACTTACAGCAGAAATAGAGTTTAGGAAACTGTTCCTTAATGCCCCTGGAGAGGGCTCACAGAAGAGACTTAACTGGTCTCTTGAGCATTTGGGAGGGTTTCTTGCCCCTTTCTCGCTTGCCATCTTTCTAATATAGTTCTGGATAATGCCTATATTCTGACATCGTGAATAGGGAGTTTTGAAAAGGGCCTTACCTCTGGGATTCTGGGGGCAACTTAAGTTCTGACTGCGGGCTAGAAAGAGCCACTGCAAAAGCCGTAACAGCAGAAAATGTACCATGCTTATATGAGTCATGTACACTCCGACCCATGCAAAAACTTACGTCATGCTATTTCCGAGAACTAAACTGTCATAATGTACAAAAATGATGCAGCATAACTGAGCACTGTCTAGTAAGTCATAAGCCAAGTTAAGTTCTTGATTCAGTCTTCTTTTACTCTGTGGAATAATGCACTAAATGGACCAACATCAGCCTTATTGTAACATAAAGGAGGGCTAATTTGTTGCTGAACTCTGGGCTGATGTTAGCACAGTGGCTGGGAGAGAATCCCGTGGTTGAGAGAGCCCTCCATCCCCGAGCACAATTCTTGCCAGATAGATTTGGTTAGCTGGGGCAGTTGGTTCCTTTTTGATTTAGTTTCTCTTCTGTCTTTGCATGCTTCCCCCCAGCAACACCCCCGCCAGTACCAATCACGCTTCAGACCCCAAGGAGAACCCTCGCTCCTTCAGGTACAGAGAGTAAGCAGCAGTAGTTGCTCCCATCAGCCAGGCTGCAGAATGCTGCCAGAAAGTTAAATTTTGACTTGTGGGGTGGGTGTGTCAGAGAAAGATATGCACTTGTGTTTTTGGGGGTAGTTCTGCTGAACTACAGTTCTCGTCTCTTCTGAGAGGGGGAAAGAAGGATGTCATAAAACGGACGTATAGCAAAATGCAATATTCATGTATCCCTGGGATTTTTAGCACTTGCTAGGGGTTTATTACCTATATTTGTTTAGCTGTAGTGCTTATTAGCCATAATTTCTTTTCTACTTCAGTGCAAATTTCTAGCTACAGTTGCATGCATATGAGTTCCTGTGCCCTGTCCATGTATTTGATAAAATACAAGCATGTTATTTGGTACATGGAGACAAATCCACTCATCTCTCATAGAAAGCTGATCAGAACTAAGAAATTTTGGGGAGATTAGGTTATTCACTAAATAATATATTCTGAAAAGTTGAAAAAAAAAAAAGAAAAAAATGCAATTTTTTCTCTAATGGGATTATTTGTGAACATCTGATCACCTCATCAACACGTGACATTCCGGGTGTCTCATGCATATAAAGTTTCCTTTGGCTGTGGTCTTGGGCACCGCAAGCGTGTTACACATACATACCTTGACAAATGACTCATCTGGTCTCTGGTACATTTTGCTCAGATGGAAGCTCCATGGTTGCTCTCTTGTCAAACCTTTGAAAGCACTACTCATCACAGTCTTTCTATACATTAGGGCATGACCTAAGGCATAGAAGCTTTCCTGTCATAGGATCTAAGCTGAGTTTTTCACTCACTAAGCTGAGTGACTCCTCTGTTTTTAAGATGCTGCTAAACATTGTGTGCTTCCTGTGACAGATCAGGTGCTCCAAATACTTAAATAATTCAGTACTTTTTAGCATGCGGTCATGATGAGCCAAGGCCCAAGCCTCGGTTAACTTTTGTGACTTTAAATTCACTAGCAAAAGTAAGAAAGCAAGATCATAGGATAACAGCAGAAAAGTTTGCTGCAAGAGTTCTTGAGCATTCATTTAGTTCATCCCTATTTCCAAAGCTTACACGACTAGAACTGAATTATTTTTAATACTCCTAGATAGAAAAAAAAAAAAGAGCATCATCTTCATAGAGCTTTCTTAAATCTGTGGTAAGTTGTCTGAATGTAAAGATTTTTGCTGTGGCTTTCAGTACTAATGCAGCTTTCAAAAACTGCAATCACTTATGCAATCACATAAGTCTGACCACAATTAAACTGAGGCAGTTCCTCCACTTAGACTTGTACTTTCTTTACTACCTCTTCTTTCTACAACATTGTCATGCTTACAGAAGTGAAAACTCCTTCACAGCAGACAAGTTTCTACTGTCTGTCTTTATGGGCTATCCCTGGGAAGCCTCCTGTTTCCTTGGTGAAGACTGACATTTCCCAATGACTGCCTGACACACCATTTGTGGCAGAAACAGACTGTTCCCTTTTGGTTGCAAGGTGCTTTATTTCTCCTACTCAGGGCCAGATTTTGCCCTTCTCATTCCCTGAGAATTCATTACTCCTTGACTAAAGCACTGACAGCCACAGTGGCCGTCACTCCTTCAGGGGACTGTGCCAGTAACAGTTTCAATCTCTTTTATTTTCAGGGATTTCATCAAGTTCAGATGACAAGCAGAAACATGATGAGAAACATGATGATAATGGAGATGAGGTAAAACTTCCTCTAAGTTTCTAGTGTTTAATTAGAAGCCACAAAGACAGCAGGACGTGCTAGTGATTTTCAACGTATTCATACTAAAGGGACAGTGTTTCCAAACAGCAGCTTGAACTTTTGTTTAGCAGTTCAGGAACCTTCTATTCACCTTTCCAGTGGATAGAGCCGAAGCCTGTGACCATACTTTGTACAGGGAAGCTCAGAAAACCATTGTAGAGTCCAGCCCAATGCAGATATTTCAGACCTCTTGGCCAGTAGGGCAACTCATTCCTGCATGAATAGGGCTGAAGTAAACATGCTTCTAAAGCCTTTTCAGTTTTTCTCTTTTCCCTTCCAGTTTCCCAGCTATGCCATTCTCATTGCCTGTCTGACAGCAGTGTCCATTTTTTTCATATTGATGCTCTCATTGTTGTTTTGGAAACGTAAGTATCCCTAAGCACGTAATTGATACAGGTTTCTAATGCTGCCCTAGTGCAGATGTCCTTCTGTATCTCTGGTTAACCTTCTGGTAAATCTGCCATGGCCCCTGCAACAGCACTCTCTTCATTTTATGAGGGTTGCTGTCCTTACTCCAGGACTGTGTCACCATGAGGAGACCAGGGAACATGAGTTGGTGGGGATGCAGCAGGAGGAAGCCTGTGCAAAGAACCTGTTCACTCACTTGTTGCAGGTCTGGCTCATCTTGTTGGCTCTTGCTTTATAGTAAAGTGGTTCCATAGCTTCCTGGAATTGCTCCTGACAGACATTGATGAAAATTAAATCAGAATGAGATCCTTTCTTTCCTGTTTAGCCCACAGAAATTTTGCAACTTTTGCTATCTTTGCTTCTGAACTCATTTGACAGATTCATTAGAATTATAGATTTTGTTTTGCCATTGTGAAGTTAATATTATTTTTCTTCTAGGTAAATACAGAAAGAAGTTTATAATAAAAAGGTAAAGATTTTGTAATTTCCTATTAAATGTTCTAATGTAATTTTTCTTAGAGGCAGGAAGGTATTGGCCACTGATTGTAATGGGTGTAGTATTGGCTTGTTGTGCTGAGTACCAAAGTTGTATTAGGAGCAAGCTTCAGATAACTTCACCCCGGAAAATCAAATAGTGGTTCCTAGATACTGCTTCTGTTTAGCAATGAACAGACATCCAGAGCACTGGCGAACTTCAGCAACTGGTACTTTCTGTTGCATAGTGATCCCAGCTTAAGCAAGTACCTAATCTGCTTTATTCTTTGACTCTGGTAGAGTTATTTTAAAGAAATAAAGAGATAAATTGTTATGATGATCAACCAGCAAAATGCTTGCTGTGTCCTCCATGGAGTGGCAATTCATGCCAATACACAAATAATGGGCCCCATGAAGGGTAAACTGCAGCAGCGCGGCAAACCAAGCTTTCCACCACTAGATAAACCTTGCAGCTCTCGTGGGGTCACTGCACCCTCTCACACACTCTTTGGGTCACACTGAAGTATCTGAAATGATCATTTAGGTGATCGTTTTGAGGCAGATACGAAATATGGAAGTATAGTGAGTCACCCTGTGCAAGTGTAACTGATAAGTTCATGTCTTCTGACTTATCTTGAAAAAACTATTTTCTCTAGACAAACCACAGGGTAGTCCAGTGAAGTATCATCCCTTTGCCAAAGACCAATAATTTTTCAATGGTAGATGGTCCCTTACTGCATATCCCACCTAGGAGATAAGGATTTGGGGCCAAGGAGGGACTTTTGATTCCTCTGGGGGTTACCCTACAGCTGTCATTATAAGATCTGAACAGCCCTTTCCTATCCATTAGAAGAATGCAACAAGGTAAATACTTCTCTGGTGTAAAAAGTAGGCATTGTACCATTGAAGTCAGTGGACTCGGTAGCTTCGGGTCTCTGTTTCAATGGGAATCTGCTGACATTACAAATAAGAAAGGATGCTCTGAAGCAGCAATGTCCTTTTGCCCCATCTATAGTGATCTGTGCTTCTCACTACAGCCTTGGACCAGCGGAAGACCTTGAAAAAGTTTTCAGTGGCGCTGAAGGAGAAAACAGCATTTTTTCCCTGTGAAGAGCTCCTACATCATCTGTAGATGCCATTGAAAATAAAAAGGGCCTGTTTCATGCTGCATTGAGAGATGCTTATGAGCCTTCAAAATATCAATGGGTGAAAACCAAAGGCCAAATCTTCAACTGTGAAAATTTAAAATCTTTGTGCAAATTTTGCCATGTCACCTTTAAAACTCCTTGCATAAAGAAGCTTCTTTGAGAAGGTGCTTTATGCATTATTCATAGGTGTTTCTGGCATCTGCCTTCTTACTAATACCATGTTACAGAACTGAATTTGTTTTTCTCCATTTTTACTAATGCTCTTCCTTGAATACAACTTATACTGTGAGAAACAGAAGAGAGAAAAAATAACATGGAATGCTGCCTAACTTCAAATTGCCAAAAAAAAAATAAAAAATTCTGCAAATTGAGTTCTTATTGCTTTTATATAATCAAGAGAAAAATTAAGCCACAAGAATGCTGTGAGTATAAATCAAAAATGCAAATTACTTAAGGGGTACCAATACTGCCTGTGATTCAGCATGTTTGAATGACCCTTGGAGACTATGTTAATAAACTTTGTAATTTACCACTAGCAATTGTATTTTTTATGCCACATCCTAAAGCATTTGAACAGGAATTAGTTATTCCCCAGGTGTTGAAATGACTGGTGTGCTGTCTCAGCTCTCCAAAGAAGTACTGCAGCATTTCCAGAGGTGGGAAAATGCCCAGAAGACCAACCTACAGGGAAATTTTTCTATCCTGCCCCCACAAACCCCCATATCACTCATTTGTAAATCCATGTCTCCCCCATCAATGTGCATAGGGGCTCCCCAGTTGTTTGTTTGGAGTTGCCTTTTGGTCCTCATGGCAATGAGCTGCAAAAATCAGCAGCTCTTGTGTGGAGTCTGCTTGGCAATGCAAACCTGCACCATGCAGCCCCAGGGTGCTTTGTTTGGGGCCTCAGCACCCAGTCACAGGTTAGCATAGTGCTGTCTGGATGGGCTTTGTATGGATGAGACAGGGGTGCCCAGTCCTACCAGTGCTGCCCATTTATCTTTTAGAGAAGTTGCAGGTGAGAGAAGCACAACGCAGAGCACAGTCACATCTTGGAAATTTGGCCATCCCTACAGCTGCCCATGGGAGGTGGGTGAAGCCACTTCAGCATTTCTGAGCAGCATAGGCAAATATCCTGTGATCTCCATGGAAAGGCTCTGGGGACACTAAAAACAGTGAAGAAGAGATGAAGGGTGGCATTCACCTTCTGCTGCTTCTAGTGGGACAGAAGGGCTGTGGGGGAGAACATAGCTGCTTCTGGGGAGAGAATTTGTCCCCAGTCCTTCTCTGCAGCAACAAGCTGCCCCCACACTCCCACCCCATCCTCAGGGGCACTGGCAGGAGCTGCCATCCCAGCTCCCACGACTTCAGTGTTGCAGAGCTGACAAGCAGGCTGTGTCTGGTTAGCTGCTCAGACATATCCCTGTGTTGTGCTTAGAGCTGACCCCGAGGATGGGGATGGTTTGGACACTGTGGGCTGCCTGGGCAAGTGTGGGGTTAGCACAGGGGTGCCCAGCTCCATGCTATGGACCTTGGCTTGGCCCTGGGGAGGCAGGAGGCAGGGCTGCTGGCAGTGCAGAGCAGTCCAGGAAAGTCTGAAATCCTCCCTGTTATCCTCAAGCCCTGTAAATGCTGCCATAATGACAGCTCTGCAGCACCAACCATGTCTTCTACTCAGCTGGGAAAACTGGAACCCTCAAGTGGCTGCGGGGTAGATCAGCAATGCATGGCAGAGCGAAGCCCATCATTTCACCGCACTAATCACACCCTTTCTGAGGGGGCTTTTGCTTGTGTTTCAGCTAGATTGAGATTTAGGCTTTAAAAACCAGACTGAGTTAGTAACCAGCCTGGGGGCATTAGTGAAGTGGGACTGGCCATGGAGGCTGGAGGATCATCTATGGGATACGCTGCAGGGCTTTCATGTATCTCGTTGGGGTCCTCACCAGCTCTGCTGCAGTGATTATAAGAATGGCATGGGAGAAGGTTCAAATCCACGACACTGTTACCTCCGTTGCCTGGAGTTCACCAGTCCCTGCTATGGCAACTCTGGGAAATGATAACTTGAAGTAAGAGCACATTGTGAGAATAGCATTTGATCAGAAGAAAACATGGTGTGGCAGCTCTGGACTTCCCCGCTAGTCATGCTGAGGGCTGTGGTGAAAGTTTTTGACTCAGCAGCATCTTCTCAGAAGCCCTGAGTTAGGGGGAGACAGGGGAGGTTCCTCTTTGGGGTCCCTCTCAGTCTGTCCCAGGTTCAGCACCCTGCTGCGCACCCTGGTCTAGCAGTGCTGTGGGAGGCAGAAATGAGTCCCCGAACAGAGGATGTGGCCTGCAGGCTCCCAGGTTGGGTTTGCTCAGCTGAAATCTCTGTCTGTCCCACACTGGCTAATGCGGTGGCCACACTCCAACACACAGCACGTGCTGAGCCCAGGGTCTGGCGCCTGATGCTGCTTCTAGGCACAAATCTCACAAAGCTGTAAGGAATTAAAGGGAAAAAAACCCCCAAACAGTTCTGATGTAGCCCTTTAAAAAAAAAAAAAAGCAGCTTTTTTTTTTTCCCCCTTCCCACCCCCCAGTAAACCTGCTAATTAAGTCAGCAATACGTTCACTGCAACTTCCAATTGGCAGGGCTGGGCCAATCCTTTTGCTCTTATTAATTAGCTCTGCAGTAATGACTTCTTTAGAGTGGGACTGGCTCTTGCTGGGGAAGGTTCTAGCACGTTTGCTGTGGTGCTGGCTGGACTTGAAGGCCCTGCTTTGGGAAGCAGCGTAAGGGCAGAAGAAATAGGATCCAACAAAGTGAGTTTGATGTGATCAGCCATGTGGAAATGCAGCCCAGAGATGCTGTAGGGAAGCTGCAAGTGTAACTTATGTCACTGAGCATTTTTATTTATCTTTTTATCCACCACAATTACTGAGGCTGAGGTTTGGGTTTAGAGTGGCAATTGGAAGCAAGGTATCTGGGAAGGTTATATTTAAATGAAAATACATTGAAGTGGTTTCTGAGGAACTGACCCTGGCTGTCAGTATGTTCAGTGAAAGGTGAAAGGGAGCCTTTTAAAATGTAGCTGGAGGAAAAAGAAATGCTGTTTTCCAAAAGCAACAGAAGACCCAGAATGCAGTTTCTGGGTGCAGTGAAGCAAAACCTGGATGAAAGCAGCAGGTTTTTAGAAAGAAGAGGCTGTTAGGGGGTATGTCATTTGTACCTGGAAGTGTTAGTCTTTAAGACTTTTACCATGGAAAGCAAAGAAGTGCACTTGAGTAAAGATCAAGCACTGCAGCTAAGAAACGCCCTCAGTAAGCAGCTTAAAACAATGCACAGAGTTTTAGGGGCAAAGCCCTACAGAGGCCGGCCCTTCAGATGGGGAAACCTTTGACAAAAGGCACTCAGGCCCCTGGCAGTGCTGCGAGGGTTGTGCTCTTGTGTTGTGGGGTGCAGGTTTCCTCCAGAGTTGCTTTGCTACAACTCATTGCTGCCCGTTGAAGTTGCTGAAACAGATGTCCCTGCAAAGTCTGCCCTTGTGCACCTTCACCTTGCCCTCGCTGCTCTCCCATAGCTCCCAGAAAGCTGCCAAAGAGCAAAGCTGTTTGCTTTAAAACTGCTGTGCATTTCCCGAAAACTCCAGTCCCCCCAGATCTTGCCGCTGCCTCTCAAACTGCCAGGTGCTGAGACCTGAAATCATCCAGGTTTGATGCCTCTCCCCAGTGCTCTGACCTGCTGAAGTTATTGCAGAATTTATGGGCTTGCACTGGGAGCCTGTGGCTAGAGCGGAGCGGGTTTTACTTTGTTCAGAGTCCATGTCCAGCCTAAATGATGTTATATCTGGGGAGTCTGGCTGTGCTCCGTGGAGCAGGGTGATTAATTAATGAAGGATTTAGCTTTTGGTCCAAGTAATAATTTTCACTGGACCCCAGTACTTTTTGGACAATTGTCTGTATCAAAATGACCGATTAAATTGGGTAAAGGAGGTCTGACGTGAAGAGATAATGACTGAACTACCTGATTAGTATGGAGGAGGTACAGAAAAGCAATTAAAAAGGGAGAGCTGAATATTTTGGGACATGGGATTGGCTAATGAGAAAACAGGAGGAAACACTGAAAAAAAAAAAAGGCAAGCGCTGAGTTAGGAATAAAAAGCCTTTAAAGAGAAGCCAGAGGAATGAATTAAATATCATTTTGAGATTAATGAGAGACCTCTCTTAATGGACTTTATTGGAGCTGACTGCTCTGATGGTCCCTTTCCATCTCAGCAGCACATTTCATTATGTTTCCAGGTTTGTTTCATAGCCTTAATGTGCTTTTCTAGGCATTTTTTAAGGTTAATACAAATAAATCTCTGGGTTCCAAAGGTGGAATCTAATTGGAGCTTAAGAAAGAGCAAGCAGAAGGGAAGAATGTGGCTGAGTACATAGGAAATTAGAAATAAGAATAAATAGCATCATGGGACTTGGGGAAAGAACAGAGATAACTGCACAGTGAATGCATGAAAAAGTGGAAAAACTTTGGCCTGTTAGAAAGGGGAAATGGGCCGTGCTGCTGCAGACATGACAGCAGATGGCAAAATTGAGCTACAGAGACAAAGCAGAGAAACAGCTGGAGGGATTAGAAGGGTCTGTAAAGGTGATGCAGATTTGCTGTGACCATAGATGCAGCCTCCTCCAGTCGCGATGGAGGTCTCGGCCGGGAGCTCAGCTCATGGTGGGCTCCATGGCACGCTTTCAGTACGCTTGGCCTGGGCTCTGGCTTATGTGTCCTTTAGCAACACAATTTCCTGCAAGTCCCACTAACACCCTGGTTTTCTTGTGCTCCTGAGGCCATGGTGGCCATGCGCTTCTTGGTTTCCTCTTTCCACTGATGTCTAACCCCAGCTGGGAGCTGTGTGGCTTTGGTTCCTCTTGCTAATTTAAAACATAAACCCCAAGACTCAGCACCTCCTGCAATCACACCATGGCAGCAGTGACCTG